TTGGGGTCCCTTTGGGAGCCTTTCGGAGGGGTTATTCCCGGAGGCACTTAAGGAGGCAGTTGTGCACCTCTCCTGAAAAAGCCATCTCTGGACCCGGCTGAATTGGCCAACTATTGGCTGGTTTCCAACTTGCCCTACTTGGGCAAGATAATAGAGAGAGTAGTTGCAATTCAGTTACAAGGCTTCTTGGATGATGCTTCCATCTTAGATCCATTCCAGTCCGGCTTCCGACCAGGACATGGGACAGAGACGGCACTGGTCGCCCTCACAGACGGCCTCTGGAGGCATCGGGATCAGGGAGGATTGGCAGTGCTGTTGTTGTTGGACCTGTTGGCTACGTTTGACATGGTCAACCATCAGTTACTGATCCAACACCTCACCAACACTGGAGTCAAGGGACTGGCCTTACAGTGGCTCGCTTCCTTCCTCCAAGGTCGGGGACAAAGAGTGGCACTGGGGGGATCAGCTGTCCCAAAGGCACCCACTGGAATGTGGTGTGCCTCAAGGGGCAGTGCTGTCCCTAATGCTCTTTAACATCTATATACGCTGTCTTGCCCAGATTGCCTGGAGGCATGGGCTGGGATGTCACCAGTATGCGGATGACACCCAGCACTGTTGTTGGGGAGTCAGTCTGACTCTTAACCGGAAGATCTGGACTGGGCATTACAGGCCGTGGCTGGTTGGCTTAGACTGAGCCAGCTGAAACTGAATCCCACGAAGATGTAGGTCCTGTGCCTGAATCAGGGCAGTCCGAGATTAGGGATCCCACTCCCGACCTTCGATGGGGCACCATTGGTGCGAGTGACGGAGGTTAGGAGTCTGGGAGTGCTCCTAGACACCTCTCTAATAATGGAGGCCCAAGTAACAGCAACTGCCAAATCAACCTTTTACCATCTTCAGCTGATCAGGCAGTTGGTTCCCTTTCTCGAATGCAACAATTTGGCAACAGTGATCTATATGATGGTCATCTCAAGATTGGATTACTGTAATGCCCTCTACGTAGGGTTGCCCTTGTCTCAAATCCGGAAGCTGCAGCTGGTGCAAAATGCTGCAGCCAGGCTATTGATGGGACTCCCTATTCTGGAGCACATCCAGCCTGTGCTAAAGGCATTGCACTGGTTGCCTATAGCATACCGGATTCGTTTCAAGGTGCTGGTTCTTACCTTTAAAACCTTTTATGGCCAGGGATCTACATACCTGAGGGACTGCCTTTCCCCACATATAGCCCAGAGAGCACTGCGATCAGGAGTTCAGGACCGCTTGGCCCTTCCGAGTCATAAGGAGGCCAGGCTAGTAACAACCAGGGCCAGGGCTTTCTCGGTGGCGGCTCCACTCTGGTGGAATGAGCTCCCAGAAGAGATCAGGGCCCTGCAGGACCTGAAAAATTGGGCTCTTCCACCAGGCTTTGGGAGCCACCGCCACCACTAACAACGGACAGCTTGGATGGGAGAGCCCTGTCCCCCCCCGATCATTAAATATAGCCTGAGCCAGCTGCCTAAGATGACCTATGAAGACTAGAGAGCTGACTGCGAACTGCGTAACAACTACCGCTGTGAAATTACGAAATTATTGATACTAGCACTTTATTATATTTATGGTTTTAGCTCGGTTTAATTTTAATTGTTGTTCCTAATCTACTTTGTGTGTATTGTAAAATTTTTAGGTGTAAGCCGCCCTGAGCCGGCTTCGGCCAGGATAGACATCTAATAAACAAATCAAATCCAAGAACAGCTGAAGCAACCCCAGAGAGCTGCCATTTGACCCTCCCTTCCCTCCTGCAGTTCTAATGTAAATCAGGCTCCTGCACACATGATATTTTGAAGTTTAAAACATTGCTGGGAGCTTCTGCAGCTTCAGAAACATGTTTGGAGATTCATATGTATTTGTACACGTGTTCTACCATAATGCAGAAATGGCATCGACTCAGCCTGCATCAGCAAACTACACACTATGGTTTATTAGGAAAGGCATTAAAAATTAAACAGCCAGCATTGTAATGTGCCCCATTTTGTGTCCACTGTTCTTTTCTCTCTCCATCAAGAGACAGGGTGGGGGGGTTGGACACTTTTCAAAGGCCATTCATTAAAGATTAAACATCCAGCATTGTAATGTGCCCCATTTTCTGTCCACTGTTCGTTTCTCTCTCCATCAAGAGGCAGGGTGGGGGGTTGGACACTTTTCAAAGGCCATTTCGGTTTCCCAGGCTGCCCATAATTAGCATTGATGTCTTCAAAAGAAGATTGGACAGATTCTTGGAGAACAGACTTACTAAGCAATGATAAGTTAAAAAGGGACTTTCCACATCCAGAGGTAGTAAACCTCTGAATACCAGTTCTAGAAATATTGTATCACTTTGCTTCATTGCTTTTTGCCCCAGCCCTGCTTCAGTGCTAGCAGTGAGTGTGGATATTTTTTTAAAAAATCTGAAAATACTGAAATTACCCACGTACAGTAAGTGTGGGAAGGGCTGGAATTTAGTTCAGTCCCAGTTTCTGTTTAAAGAGTAGAACAAAGTTTTAGTCCAGTGGCACCCTTAAGACCAACAAAGTTTAAAAAGTAGTTACTCACCTATTCCTCTATATGAATATGTAGACGTCCTCACTTGCCTAGTTTGAACTTTAATTTCATAAAATAAGGCCTTTGCCCCAAATAAACTTATAACTGCAGTTCACACAGCAGTTGAGCTCATACATCTGGGGAGGGAGGAAATCTGAGTTTTAACTTAAATATGTTATTAAGGCTCTATTAGGAGGGGGGATTTGAGGTTTTATTGTTAATGTTTTAATTATGCCTTGAGGCATGAGGAAACAAGGAATATCTTTAAGTAGGTAAATAAATATTCTGATCTTAACTTCTGCAGTGTTGCCTGATAGGGTAAGGACAGGCATGCCAAAGCCAGCTGTAACTGTCCCTTCTCACCTGCTTGAGGTGACCCACCAGTGCCATCATGCTTTCATATGGCATTTGGGCTTGCCATGGCAATGCTGCCCAAATTTTAAAGTAGGTGGGTTGGAGGATGGTGGTTTTTGTTTTTAGTGATGCACAGGCATCACTCATAACCTATTGGGCAGTTTTTATCCCACCCAGCCCAATTTGATTTTTTAAAATATAATCATGGATATCCCCTGCTTTGCAAAAACTTATATTCTAGCCAACTGGTATGGATTTGTTTGATCCACATGCTGGGCCAAGCCTGGCTATTAAGATACAGTATGTTGCCATTGGCTTTGAAATAGGACAAGATGGGTGGGGCAGGTAAAGATAAAGGATGGGGAAGGAGAGCTTGATGCAAGACTGTTCTGTATTCTCTACGTAAATGGAAAATATGTTATTAAACTTTAAAGACAAATAGACAACAAATCAGGAAACACTTAAAGGGGAAAGCACAGGCTCCTCTTGTCTCAGAACCCTTCACACATCATGTACTTTAGGCTCTACCCAGGTGTTATGTAGTGAGCCTAAGCCTTTCCTCTTGCTGCCCCTAGAATGGGCTGAACTTGCTTCTCTAGATGCCTGGATCCAGGAACTAACTTATAGATAAGCAGTGTAATGTAAATAGCCTATCACTGGGAGTGTGTGTGTGTTGGGTGTGGTGTTTTGCATGCATATAAGCAGCCCTGCTAGCTTAAGAACATAAGAGAAACCAATGTTGGATCAGGCCAATGGCCCATCTAGTCCAACACTGTCACACAGTAGCCAAAATTACCAGGTGCCATCAGGAGGTCCACCAGTGGGGCCAGGACACTAGAAGCCCTCCCACTGTTGCCCCCCCAAGCACCAAGAATACAGAGCATCACCTGCTAGTTCCCTCTTGAAGCCGTCCATGCCTATAGCCGCCACCTCCTCCTGTGGCAGTGAATTCCATGTGTTAATCACTCTTTGGGTGAAGAAGTACTTCCTTTTATCTGTTCTAACCTTACTGCTCAGCAATTTCACGGAGTGCCCATGAGTTCTTGTATTGTGAGAAAGGGAGGAAAGTACTTCTTTCTCGACCTGCTCTATCCCATGCATAATCTTATAAACCTCCATCATGTCACCCCTCAGCCGCTTCTCCAAGCTTCCTCTTATGTTCTGCTGAAATCACTTGATAAACCTGAGCTGATCACTGCAATGCTTCTAGAACCAAGTATTTAACACCAGGAAACCTGATGCAGCAGTCAGTCTTTGGGGTGCCACAAAATTGCTTTCTAGTTTTATTTAACGACAAGCAATGGGCACCACTCCAGCAATCTTACTTTTTTTTCTTTAAAAAAAAATCAAGATATAAAAGTGCTGGAGAGAGGATTAGGAAAGTTGAGATAATCTTTTCCCACGGGCAAGTGCCTCCTGCCAAGCTTCAGCTGAGGGAAACACTTTTACAACTTCACTCTAACCTTATTTGCATACTGGCACAATTCAAAGCGAGGTCCCCAAGAGGCCGAGGCGGGAGTCGGCAAAGGCCGGTCTTAAGTTGTTCATGGAAAGGCGCCCACACCGCAGCAGCCACTCGAGAGAACCGGCTATGCAGGGCTTAGAGGGAAGGAAAAGGGGGAGGGTGGCTTTTCAAATGCCCGCTACCCCGCGAGGAAGCGGCTTCTTCAGGTACGGCGGCCAGAGCAAGGCCGAGAGGGGGCCTGAGGCGGCCGGTTGAGGCTCGCGCAAACTGGGCTTTTGAGCCTTGGAGAGTCCCTTGCTGAGGGCAAAGAAACAGGGGAGTGAAGAGGATAGGGAAGGAAAAGGAGGAAGAAAAAACGAAACCAAGCCCAAAGGGATAGTTCCTTGGGGGGGAGGGGCTCCCAGAAACTGAGGAAAAGACGAAACTACAAATCACGTCGTCTTTCCCGCTCCTCTCCACCGCACAGCGAGGCCAGCAACCCAGCGCGCGTCCCCCACGCCCTTTCCCTTTTGGGGAGCAGCGGTGGCAGCAGGTGAGCGCGTCCGGCCAGAGCTGAGACCGGAGGCGGAGCGCGCGCGAGGAGGGGAGGCGCGAGCGTGCAAAGGGCGGGCGGTCCCGAGGCGGAGGCAGCTGAAACTCGACGGGCGCTCTTTTTTTCGGGGCAGCGCTCTCGACCTCGGAGCGCCGGGCAAGTTTGGCGCGTCCTGCCCTGGTGGACCCCGCGCGCAAAAGGGTGAGTGACTCCGGCGGCTTTTCTTGGCAAGGCCACTGCGCGGGTGGGGGGGGGGGGTAGAGGAAGGCGCTGTTGGGCATGGTAGTTCCTGCCCCGCCTAGCCCCTCGGTGAATGAGGAAGAGGCGCGGGCGGCATCGCCTTCTCTGGTGGTTTGAAGAGACTCGCTCGCAGTTCCGCTCTCCCCCCTTCCCCCCGCCAAACCACTGACGGGTTAACTGGCGGAGCATCTCTTCGCCCTGCTTCCCGAAGCCCCTTCACGCCTCGGCGCCGAAGCAGCTCCTCGCTCTCGAGAGGACGAGTTCGACTCTCGCTTTGGGCTGGGTGACACGCACTTTGCGAAAGAAGCTCGGCTTCTTCCTGCTTCCCCTTTGCAATCGCGGCGAGTCTGGGACGGGGCAAGGCAGAGACGGGGAGAGCTGAGCAGGTAGCGCCCGCCGTCGCCGGAGTTTCCCAAGAGCGGTCTAGACCCGGGCTGCTCAATCGACCATCTGCCCGAGGACTGGTTTCCCCCGGGACTTCCTCGTTTAGGAGCCTCCATCTTTCCTTAAAGTAGTCGGCCAAACTCATGCAAATCAAATTGTTTTTAAAGGGGGAGTGATTTGTTCGTGGTAGGTTTTCTTTGCAGTTTACGCTGCCTACTTGTATAATGCTGATCCTTTCTCGTGTTTCCGGTTCCTTATCTTATGAATGATCCAGACTTTTAAAAAGTGAAAAAGAAGTGTAATGAGCCTTTCCCCAGAAATCACGTTTCAAAGGCTGGTCGTCTTTCTTGTCAAGCAAAATAATATCTTAATCTGGCCTTTGCAGCCATCTAAATCTGTCCAGGAAATTGGGGTAACTTAAAAGGCTGGACATTTCAGCCACACAAGAAGACACATAATGGCAGGATATTTGAACTTGCAAGTATTAAAATGTAAACATCCCCAATGGCTTTGTGATAAGGAAGAAACATTCAGGCCTTTTCCATTCTGAGCTTTACATTTTCACAGCAGCACATGATTATTTAGGAAGGGGTGATTGACAGCTGTGTCAACAATTTTTCTCCCTTTCCCAAAATACTAGAACTTGAGGGTATCCAATGAAACTGACATAGGGTAGGTTCAGGATGGGAAAAAAGGAAACACTACTTTACATAGAGAATGATTAAAATGTGGGATTTGTTGTCAGAAGATGTAGTGATGGCCACAGAAATAAACAGCTTTAAAAGGGGGTTAGATAGATTCACAGAAGATAAGTCTAGCAATGGCTACTAGCCATGGTGACTGAGGGGAAACTCCACACTAAGCCTCTGAATCCCAGAGCCAGGAGGCAACATCAGGTGAAGGTCTTGGCTTCTGTGTCCTGTTGTTGGCTGTCCAAAGGAAGTGGTTGGCCACTGTGTGAGGCAGGATGCTGGACTAGATGAACCATTGGTTTGACCCAGCAGGGCTCTTCTTATGTTCTAAACACAATATTCAGAGGGTTGAAAACGGAGTTGTATTTTTTTTATGAAGTATGTCTTTTGATCTCTGTTTGGATAACATACCTGTATCCTACTGGGCTAAGGATCACTCCCATCTTTATTTCTCTGTCTCAAGGCATCTCAGAGTCCTGTAACTGGAGACTGCATTTTGAGTGGTTTGTAATTAGGAAGGGTTGGTTCCTATAGGTCACTTTGGTTAGAGGCCACAGGCATTTTTCTTGTTCTGTTGTTTGAGCTGGAGGGGTTGTTTACTTTCCCATTAAGTGGATAGTCAGGTTCGGTTTGCTTTGTTTGTGCCATACATGTTGTACACCTGTTCTGTACTTGGGACACTCTTGATATCCATTGTGTTTGTTGATCACTGGGAAGATAGTACTGCCTTTAGGCAGAGGGCTGGACTGCTGTTTGACCTCTTCCAGTTCTATTAACCTGAATCTTGCAATCATCATGGCACTATACCAGCATTGCTGGGGAATTTTTGCTGGCATTGCAGAGATATATACCAGTGGTTGCCAAGTTTCATTTTCCAAGAATGAATTCCATACATTACAATTATAGTGCTTTGGTGTATCTGCAGCAGTAAGCAAAGGCTAAAGGGTGTTTGTGGCGCCAGTGCTGCAAGAGTTGGTTGCCTGTATGCTTCATGTCTTTTTTTGGGGGGGGGCTGTAGTACAAAATAATTCAACAAATTGAGTAATATGTTTGTTCCTTTCCTGTGACAGTAGCAATTATATATCTAAATTAAATAGCTGAATGGTTTAAGCAAGTATGGTAGTCCAGACTTGGACCATAAAATAATTAGTTCCAGGAAGCATAGCAAATCCTGCGTGGGGAACATAGAGGGGAGTTAATAATTTAGCTCATAAAGCATGGGAGTATTGTGGAAAGTTATAACTTGCTTATCCTTAGGTCAAATTTAATGTAGATCATTAAAACCTTGTATCATCTGGTTTATAGGAGCATGAAAGTAGTGTATTAAAACAAATGCAACCTATGCTGAATGTTCTTAGTAATTTTACTGATCAATGCAGCCTGATGGATAAGAACACTTATTTCTGATTAGAGGACCTATTCACATGTTACAGAGATTTTCCTCTCCTATCGACATGTATTCTGGGGGTTCTGTGCTTGAATCTGTTAAGGAGTATGTTGGCCAATTCAGATTAGGACCATGGTGAATGGGGACTGAAGGCTTCAACCCTTACTCCCCGCCCCCCACATCATTATCCAATTTGAATCAGATTTTTCCTCATACATGGAATTAATATTTTGTACTGAGCTCCCAGAACACATCTGGACTACAGGACCTTAATGTACAAATTGGCTTGCAGTGTCTATATTGGAATGGGAGAGGACTTGCTTAAATACAGACATAATTATCTTGAATATATGTTGTAAGAACAGAGCTAGTGTGATGTGATGTAGTGGTTAGTGGTCTAGGACTGGAAGACCCAGGTTCAGTTCCCTGTTCTACTATGGAAGCTTGCTGGGTGACCTTAAACCAGTCACTCTCTCTCAGCCTAATCTACTTCTCAGGGTTGTTGGGAAGTAGGGCTGCCAAACCGCGGCGGGGGATCCGTGTGTCGTCGCAGGATCGCTGCCGTGGGGGGACAGCGATCCGCATTGCACCGGCGTCGCCAGGATGTGACGCTACGCCTTGCCCTGGCAATGGGACTCCAAACAGCCCCGTTGCCAGAGCGACATGTAGCGTCACATCCTGGCGACGCCGGTGCAGCGCGGATCGCTGTCCCCCCGCGGCAGCAATCCTGCGATGACGCACAGATCCCCCGCCACGGTTTGGCAGCCCTATTAATGGGAAGATAAAATGGAGGAGAGGAGAACTGTGATATTTAAGCCACTTTGGGTCTCCATTGAGGCAATTAAACTTTGTTGGTCTTACAGGTGCCACTGGACTCAAACTTTGTTCTGTGATGTACTTAGTATGTTTGTGCCATTTGTTGTGGAATACTCTAACGAACTCAGAGACATGGAGGGGACAGAATGAAATGTGTGGAAGAGGGGGATTTATTTTGTTTCCTTGCAAAGGATGCCAGTATTCCCAGTGATAACCCTTTTCTTGAGTGCATAGGCTGCAGAGTTTTGTCTAACCAATTGATCAATGAAGTGATTAAAATCATTTGAAAGGTAACCCTAATTAGCTATAAAGCAGATCTGTAAAGAGAAGTTAATTTTTAAAAAATACAAGTACTTACAAGAAGGGTAAGACTAGGCATTTCTTTCTCACACAGGAGGGAATTCCTCTTCTGTAGCAGTGTGTGCATAATTTGAGAACAGAATATGTTTTTTATTGAGAAATAATGTTTTATAAGCATATTTATGGAGAATAGACTAAGCTTAGATGAATACAATTTATTTAAGTGGCCAGCATCCTTTTATGAAAATGATGCACTGCGCTTTGTGGATAATAATCTCCTGGTGATCCCTGGCCCCAAAAGCATTTGTTTAGCCTGAGCCAGAGTCGACTGAACAACAACAACAACAGACCCTTTTCAGCTCTGGCCCTGGCCTGGTGGAATGCTCTTCCAAATGAGATCTGGGCCCGACCGAATCTGATGTAGTTCTGCAGGGCCTGCAAGACAAAAATGTTCTGCCAGGCCCATGGTTGAGGCAACGAAGTTTCCATCTGAATTGTCGTCCCCCAGCCCCTTCTCTGTCATCCACCTCTTCATTATATTAGTTTTTATTCATCAGCACACAGGCTGCGCAACCTCACTTGGATAACTTATGCAACTTGTGCCTTATATTGCCATCTGACGACTTTTAAACGTACTGTTGTGATAATCGTTTTTAATAGTTAATTTATAGTATTGTTTTAAAAGTGTTGTTACCTGCCCTGAGCCCTGCTGTGCAGGTGAGGGCGGGCTATAAGTCCAGTAAAATAAATAAATAACATGTAATCTTCCATTGAGTTGCCATTTATTACAGAGCAGTTGGCCTAAAAGACAGCCAGTGTGGTGTACTGATTAGACTGTCAAATTAAGTGCAAGTTCGAATCCCTGGTCATCCATGGAAGTTTGCTGAGTGACCTTGGGACCGGTTCACAGACTCTCAGCCTAACCTACCTCAAAGGCTTGTTGTGAGGATAAAATGGAAGAGAGGAAAACAATGTAAGCCTCCTTGGGTCCCAATTGAGAAAAAAGTGTGGGTTATATAAACTAAGTAAATAAATAAAAGGTTAGGACAATACTATATAGTATGTCCTGTGCTAAAGAGGTAGCAAGGATATGTTCTTGGTTTCCATATCAAAGTTGACACTTGATAAAGCACAGTACAGTCTCCCTGAAAAGCAGTGGGCCGTGAGATGTCCCTTATCTTCTGAAGAACTAGTGTTCTTTTATATGTGTGTGTAGCACTTCCTGTTCATTTCTTATAAATGTGTGTTATCAGAATGCTAGAATGATAACTGTCAGTTATGCAAATAGTAATGGTAAGCTTGAGGATTGGTGGGGGAACGGTGAGTACAGATGCAACATGGCTTCCAAAAATTAGTGATGTATCGCACTCCCATCTTGTAAA